CATCGGTCACGTCATCGCTGTGAGACAGTCGACACCATTTTTTTTTTGCGACGGTCTATTAGAGCAAGGTTTAATCAGCCTATCCCGCGAAGTACCTTTTAGAGCAAGTATGCTTTGCCGATGGTTGCCACAAAACACCAATATTATGCCTTGAAATTCTTCCGCTGAGCTGCTTATGATATTAGCGAAGGGTATTCCACTATCTTCCGCATGCATTGATCTTACTTGCACTTACTGACTTATTTGCAAAGCTACTGACTGACAGAGCGGCGTCGATCCTTTCCGAGTAGCAAGCTCTGATATGTATGACGAACATGCGAATACATATCGATATAGGCAGATTATCATATCGTAGTGGTCTTTAGATTTGAATCGAATAGTAGCTCATGTACGTTAGATGCTGTACGCTCGCCACTACTTATCAGCTTGGCGTGTTGTTTGCTATGTCCGTGCATTGCTGATTTCGTAAGCTCGTCGGCGCCACGCTCTCGCGGTAGCCAAAGCACATTGGGTCACTTTCGCTTTCTCGGTACTTTTGCGTCATGGTGCTGGCTTACTGTGCTTACGCGTCTAATGGAATAGCCTATATGACTCAGCGCGTCACTAACTGGGCACAGGCCATACCGCAGCGATATAGGCAAGCTGGTCGCGCGTCTCTTAGCAGTAGTGCTTTATACGCGCGCGGCGGGTACACCTTGTAGCCATCCGCGACTCAAGCGAGCTCATATGTCGACCATTATGGACAGGACACTAAAATACAGAACTGCATACAGGCACATCGACCTGGAACATCCACCTGTACGGTCTGCATTACCGCACACGTGCTCGTATCTATGTAGACAGCAACCGTTTTGTTGCACGTAGTACTCACTCAAAACTGTAGTTTAAATTTATGAGCGCACATTAGTGGAATATACTCTGTGAACATTGACGATACAGATAGCGTGGCTTGCCTTTGTCCAAGTGAGGGAGTGTACGTGTGACGCGTACGCAGATAGAAACGGCCAGCTTGCGGCTGTCCACAGTAGATACCATGTGCTAAATATTATTTGAAAGGCGCTACGCTGTTTAGGTGTGTCAACAATACTGACTGCGCCATAGGCTGACTACCATATGTGCGACCCCGAGCCTCGCCCGGTCAGCCAGTATACTAAATACAAAGATAGGAAGGGAATGTGGGGGCCTAAAAGGGTGTATTTACCCATTACTTTGCTCATCTGCTGCTTCTTTCGCTCGATGTACTT